CAAGACTGTCTCAAAAGAAAAAGAAAAAAAAAAAAAATTCTTTGAAGTCTTATGGGTCTCAAAAGTAGCTGATACTATACCAAACTTTTGGAAACCAGGATGTGACTCAACTGTCCCACTAGCACATAAAAAGATGATTCTAATGAACAAAACCCATCTGTCTTCTTAAGTTTTACATCTCTGGACACAAAACAGGTACATATATATGCATACCTATGAATAACATAAGCCACTATAATATACAATGGCAGCTGAAATTTAACAAATATTCAGTAACAGATGCTTAAAAACTTTTTTTTTTTTTTGAGATGGACTCTCGCTCTATTGCCCAAGCTGAAGTGCAGTGGCATAATCTCAGCTCACTGCAATCCCTGTCTCCTAGGTTCAAGAGATTCTCCCGCCTCAGCCTCCCGAGTAGCTGGGACTACAAGCACTTGCCACCATGCCCAGTAGAGACAGAGTTTCACCATGTTGGCCAGGCTTGTCTCAAACTCCTGACCTCAAGTGATCTACTCGCCTTGGCCTCCCAAAGTGCTGGGATTACAGGCATAGGCCACCACACCAGCCTTAAAACTTTAAAAAAATATATTAAACTGTTCTAAGTTCAAATAAAAAAGCTAAGATTTGAAAATTAAGCAAAGATTAAGGTTTCCAAGTATAAAATTGTTTATTCAAAACTATTCATAAGGAAAACTAATTTAAAAAAACAACAACTATTCATGAGATTTGGGCCGGAGCCGGGTGGAATGGCTCCCGCCTGTAATCCGAGCACTTTGGGGGGCCAAGGTGGGTGGATCACCTGAGGTCAGGACCAGCCTGGCCAACATGGTGAAACCCCATCTCTACTAAAAACACAAACAAAATTAGCTAGGTGTGTTGGTACATGCCTGTAATCCCAGCTACTCGGAAGGCGGAGGCAGGAGAATCACTTGAACCCAGGAGTGGAGGTTGCAGTGAGCCAAGATCCCGCCATTGCACTTCAGCCTGGGTGACAGAGCAAGGCTGTTTCAAAAGAAAAAAGAAAAGAAAAGGACTCAGGCCAGGCGCAGTGGCTCACTCGTATAATCCCAGCACTTTGGAGGCCAAGGTGAGTGGATCACTTGAGCTCAGGAGTTCGAGATTAGCCTGAGCCACACAGGGAGACTCTGTCTCTATTAAAAAACAATTAATAAGACTCCTGACATCATAAGTGAATAACATACACCCGGATTACTGATAAATCTTTAAAAAGCTCCCACACTCATTTCATTAGCTAGTGATTTATACACTTTCCCTACTATGTGCAGTTTTATAACATCTCAGCCAGCATCTACCTTCCAAATACCAGTCTTGTATCAACCAGGAAGAGACAAATAAGGAAGCAAAGCTAGTTTCATTTTAAGGTATAGTTTCTCTGTTAATTAATGTCTCATCAAAGGTGAATAGTAGGCCAGGATTCCCCTTCTAATTTTATTGATCAACAACCACTGGAAAACTAAATGCCCGAGTTAATCAAACTGATTTATTAAATATGGAGACACTATCTACAATTTTTAAGTAAACATGACAGTTCTTTAGGCATTCATATGTACAATTATTTAAGTGCTGTTGATGTAGTTGGTCAGAAAACTGAACTAATTTTTCACTAGCCACAAGACATATCTTAGAAACTGCTTGCCGAAAAAATTCTTGGTAAGCTGTTTACTTGTACAAAACAGACAAATGAAAAAATGAAGAGAAATAATTTCAGCCATTTGAGCTTTCTGGTTGTCTGAACAACGAGGGGGAAAAATGATTAAAAAACAAACTGGAAGACACTGTTATATTTTATCCGATAAGGCAGTGGTTCTGAGAGTGCTGCTCTCTGGATCAGCAACATCAGTATCACCTGGGAGCTTGTCAGGAAAAAAAAATTCTGAGGCACCACCTCAGACTTACTGAATCAGAAATCCTGGGGCTGGGACCCAGCAATCTGTGTTTTAACAAGCCTAACAGGTGATTTTGATGCGTATTAAAGTTTGAAAACCCCAGTTAGAGTCAAGAAGATATTCAAATTTGTTCTGTGGAAATTGCCACCACACCAAAAGCAATGAAATATTGTCTGTTTCCCTGCACATCTGAGTTCCTCCTGGCTTGGTCTTATGATGAATGAATTTTCGAAGATTTATTTGACCCAGGAGTTTATTTCAGCCCCAAGTAAAATGGAACACAAAACATTTTGCCAGAGGGAAAAAAGAGCAAGGAATTTCCTTTTTGCTATTGTTCACAACCTGTTCCAGGTGATATATCTTCAGCAACAAATCAACAATTTAAGGCCAGGTGCAATGACTCACTCCTATAATCGCAGCACTTTGGGAAGCCGAGGCGGGAGGATCAATCGAGCCCAGGGGTTCGAGAACAGCCTGGCCAACATGGCGAAACCCCGTCTCTACCAAAAATACAAAAATTAGCCTGTGGTGGCGCATACCTGCAATCCCAGCTACTCAGGAGGCTGAGACATGAGAACTGCTTGAACCTGGGAGGTGGAGTTTGCAGTGAGCTAAGATTATGCCACTGCATTCCAGCCTGAGCAACAACAAAAAAAATTAACAAGATTAACAACTGAAATTTAGAAAGAGCTATTTCACCACGTATTCTGCAATTCACTTGAGAGAAGAGTATTCTGTCACAGAAAACCAGAACTCTGCCAACATCTACATTAACATCAAGTATTGGAACACAAGTTTTACCCACCTGAAGATGAGAGGTAACATAAAGCCCATCTAAAATGGGAGACTGCACTTGGTCCCTAGCTTCCAAGATTCTTCATTGGCCCTTCCCTTTCTCCTATATGGAAGCTATCAGATACAATGCAAACATTAATTTTCAGTTAAGCTATTTGATAATGTAATGGCAATTCTTGTATTAACTAAACTGACTTAGCTACAATGTAACATAACTATAGCATACATATTATTCACAGATGCACCTGTGTGCACACACAACAGCCTGCAATGCTTGAGCCTTTAACACCAACTACTATTGGACTACTTTGTGTTTTTAATGCCCTGATTATGTACAAGGGTGTTGTTCTTGGAATTAAATCCTGAGATATAATTAAATCCTGAGATATAATGATATGGCTTATGTCAGTTACTTGCTTTCATTCATGATCCATCCTTCCCAAATATGGCAGCTGTGGCTCAGTGGAAAGAGCATTAGTCTGGGCATCAGAAGACCTGGATCCTAGCCCCAGCTGCGGGACCTTGGACACGTGACTTAACTTCTTGTCCTCCACCGATTTAGCAGTAAAAATGAGACACCACCTAATACCCAAAGGTGTTGTAGGAAATGAGATAATAAATATTTAAAATGTGTTGTACATCATAAAGCTGTATACATCCATTCACTCCACGCACATTTATTGCTATTATTTAGCAGGCAATCTTCTAGGCACTGAGGATAAAGGTGTAAACAAGAAAGCAAAATCCCTTTCCCCAAGGGAGCTTACATTCTGGTGGGAAGGTAAGATTTATTATTTAAAAAAAGGATGGTTACCCTCCTTACTCATTTAAGTTTTTGTTTTTATTTTATTTTGTGTTAAGGATTCAGATTTCTGACAGCCTTCTGTGATATTATGGAGACTTACGATTATAGGATAAAGGTAACTTTTGAACTCAAGAACAATATTGTTAGGCAAAGGTCAAGCAGATTTATCTGACTTGTTTAATAACTAAGGCTTCCTTGTAACCAGTTCCTCCCACAAAATAATCATTATCTCTGGAGAGAGAAATTATGCTAACCTAGAGAAGACAGAAAAATAAATTTCTGTGATGAGAGCAAAGTATATCACACTGGATGCCATGTTCAATCATTAAGAGCAGAAGTAGACAATCCTATTTTTCTACATCTGTTACAGTTACTCCTGGAACTGAATTGGCCAAAACTGACCTGATCATATTCCAGAATTTTTTATCATTCCTGATTTAAAAAAACTGACTATGATTGCAGGAATGTGAAAAGAAGTAGTCTCCCAGTCTATCAAAGGAATGACTAGTCCAGTAAAGGGCCAATTTAAAGATTCTGAAGGACAGAGGTCCAAGTAGCCTATTTGGAAAAAAAAAAAAAAAAAAAAAAAAAAAACTGCGTTGGAACCATACTGCAGTCTCCATTGAATGCAAAGAGCTTTAAAGAGGCCTGTTCAGAACGTCACCAGGTTCTAGGAAAGGGGGGGAAAAACAAACAGACACCCCCACCACCACCACTCTCTCTCACACACACACACACCCCGAAAACCTCACTCAGAGCCAAATGCTAATCCTTCTGATCCCATTTAGGGTAAAAAGAGGGCAATCCATTTTTACAGTAGATATATCCATTTCTTTGTTTGAGTCCAGATACATTATGCGCAAATCTACAAGCAAGGCTGACACTGCTGCGGATCAGAGAGCTGATACGTACCACCTCCCCAGGAGAAGACAGTAAGACCCTGCTAGGGAGCTGCAAGTAGAGGAGGGTATTTTATTTAAGGGGGATGGAAAAAGAGTGGTCAAGGAGGAGACTAGGATTAGAACAGTGGGGTCCCTTCGCCCTTCCCTCAAAACCCCGACTGTCGAATATATTCTCTGCGGATACCGCATCCTTGGAAGGCCCTACGCAGGTCCGAGATACTGCTATTCATCATTTCCCACGTCCTCTAATACCACCACCAACCACAACGACCACCTCTCAATAATTCTCTTCTAGGCGCTGCTTTATCTCCATCCCTGGTCCTGGAGAGGCCGCTCCTGCGATCTCTGCACCCTCCTAGCTGTTATGTCACACCGAGACACCACAGTCGGCCACCCCACCCCCAGGCCAATAGTGATCCCTCTAGTGCCCTCCAGCACCTCCAAATCTCCAGCCTCCAAGCTATCTTCTGCATCCCGCCCCCGTCCCTATCCCAACCACCATCATCGATCCCTCCACCGCCGTCCCTAACCCGATCTCCCATCACCGATTTCTTACTCCCGTCCCTAACGCGACCCCTACACCTTTCTCACCTGCAGCCCAGGAAGACGTGGTTGGTCCAGGCGGCGGAGAGCGCGAGGAGCTGGTCGAGGGCAGCCCCGGGATAGCTGTGCAGGTGCCGACAGATGAAGCTGCGCCGCAGAGCCCACTGCCAGTCACTTTCGTGGCTATAGCGCCACTGCTCCAGCACTGGCTCGGGCGGGGGCGGCGGGAGGGGCGGCAGCGGCGGCGGCGGGAGGGGGGGCAGCGGCGGCGGCGACAGGAAGTCGCCCCCCAACAGCAGACGTCCTCCAGCCATCTTCTCCGCCCCCAAGCAGGGACCCCAGGGACGAAGCCGACTACGGACCGCGAGCTAGGCAGCTAGCAAGCCGGCGGAAACAGGGGGCCGGTGGGAGGGACCGGGTGAGGAGGGGCTCGCCGAGGGGCGAAGATCAACTCTCGTGGGGACTGGAGTGTATGCGTGGGGGGCACCGTTAGGAGGAAATGAGGAGCACGAGCTCGCGTCCCGACACCGGGGTGCAAGCCCGCTGCACGCCTCCAACTCGTGGAGGAACAGAAGGGCTCCCGCTGCACTCAAGCGCGAGCCCGGGAGGCCTAGTCAGGCTCCGCACCTCCACGGATCCGCTGACCCACTCACTGCGCGGAGAGCGAAAAAAGACCCCAGCACGCTCTGCTCCCCTCCTCTAGGCTCTAGCCTACCTACCCGCGTGCCGCCCGGGGTTGTGAGGCCAGTGCGCTTGCGCCGCGGCTGTTCCCTAACTTCCGAATCCCGTCGCAGAATCTCGCGCGACGTACTTTTTTCCCTCCAGTGACGACTACGGGCCTTTGACGCACTACGGTGACTAGCAGAGGGCGGGGACTCCAGAAGGAACTTAGGAAGATTCTCTGAGGTTCGAGAATATGGTTAGAAGGTGCTCTCAGGTGAATGTTGGGAGCCGATGGATCGTCTGACGCTTTTCCTTGGATTTCTAAGCAGCACGACGGTGAGACCCTGTTCCTTGTAAGGGATTTAGGTCTGCCGTGGACTTTACATTCAAAACAAAACAAACTGTCAGCTCCCCGAGGTGCCTTTTCTTCAGAGTAGCTTGAAATGCTCTGTGCATCGTGCATCATTAGCTTTGTATAACAACTTACTGCGAAAACGTAGTAAAAATGAAACACTTTGCAAACAAAATCATCCACAGCGCCGCTTAAGTTAGCCACTTTTAAGTCCGTACGACATTCCAATTGCTGAAGAACACACAGTGTGTTTACACAGTTATGATCACGACTGCAAATAAGTCTCTATTTCATGTCTCAACTTAAGTGCAAAAAGATTACAAGATAAAAAGGGCCCAGATAAGAGTGTACTGTACGGCCGCAAGCCGTTGAATCACTGTAGCCAAAGGTATCACTCCACCCGGAGTCGTCTCCACTCAGTAACGTCATTCGCTATCTGCCAACCTGTGTCACGCAAGCAGTTTATCAATGAATGTCTGTCAGCGGGAATTTTCACAGCACCTACTGTGTGCTCAATACAGCAAGAATACAAAAAAAGAAGGAAAGCAAGTGGGATTTCTCTATTGTGCTGGAATTGACGACAGTCTTGGTCCCACCAGGAGCCGGACCATTGGATGAGGTGGCTTTGACCCGCTACCATCTTTAACTCTCTAATGACGTATTTCTAATTCTGTGACACTTTATGTGTGCGGGTGTATTAGACCAAGAGGAGCAGAAGATAACTGCACTTTTCATACTTCCATGATTTATTTCCATGTCTGTCTTTCTCTATGGTGGGCATTCATGTTTATTGGGGTAACAAACTGTTTTTTGTTTGTTTTTGTTTTTTAAGACGGAGTCTCCCCCTGTTACCCAGGCTGGAGTGCAATGGCCCGATGTCGGCTCACTGCAACCTCCGCCTCCCGGGTTCAAACGATTCTCCTGCCTCAGCCTCCCAAGTAGCTGGGATTACAAGTGTGTACCACACACCCAGCTAATTTTTGTATTTTTTTTTTTTTTTTTTAAGTAGAGACGAGGCTTCACCATGATGGCCAGGCTAGTCTCGAACTCCTGACCTTGTGGTCTTCCTGCCTCGGCCTCCCAAACTGCCGGGATTACAGGCGTGAGCCACCGCGCCTGGCCCAAACTGTTTTTAAAAAGTTCAAAAGGTGATACATGCTGTAAAGAAAATAAAACAGGCCGGGTGTGGTGGCTTACGTCTGTAATCCCAGTACTTTGGGAGGCCGAGGTGGGAGGATCACTTGAGGTCAGGAGTTTGATTCCAGCCTGGCCAACATGGTGAATCTCATCTCTATTAAAAAAAAAAAAAATGGCCTGGGTTGGTGGCACGTGGTTGTAGTCCCAGCTACTCCGGAGGCTGAGGCAGGAGAATTGCTTGAACCCCGGAGGTGGAGGTCACAGTGAGCTGAGATCGTGCCAGTACACTCCAGCCTGGACAATAGAGTGACACTCCATCTCAAAATTAATAATAATAATAAATAGGGGAGTGCAAAGGCAAATGAGGGGGAACACTAGATGGGGAGTCAGGTGACTTAAATTCTCATCTCATCATTGCCAACAACTATCTCTGCAGCCCTCGGCAAGTCACTTCACCTCTCTGGCCTTATTTTTCTCACTCATACAATCATGACTTGAATTTATAATCTCTAACCTTCCTTCTTAGTATTGTATTCTTTGATTTGCTGGTTCAGAGACTAACATTACCTCAATAAACATGAATGCCCATCATAAAGAAAGACAAACATGGAAATGAGGAATTCTGAAACTGAAAAGTGCTTTTATCTTCTGCTCTTCTCAGTCCAATACACCCCTACACCTAAGGTGTCATATGGTTAGAAATATGTCATGAGAGAGTTAAAGAGGGCACTGGGTCAAAGCTACCTCATCCAGTGGTCCTGCTGCTGGTGGGACATTTAGTTTTATATAGGGCTATTTCTCCGCACCAAGCTTGTAATCAACTCCAGGACAACAGAGAAAAACCACTTTCTTTCTTTCCTTTTTGTTTTCTTGATGTAATCCACTGGAATGTCAGTTATGTGAAAGCAGGGAACTTATCTGTCTTGCTGTTAGCACCTACACCTTGACCCTGTAGGCATTCAGAGATATTTGTTGAATTAAATGGGTAAATGAATGAAGCTCTTCCCTTTGTCCCAACCTAGCGAAAATCACTTCCTTGGAGCCTAATTTTAAGCTGATTTGTTATTTCATAATTAGATTTATTTCATCCCGCCATGGTTTGAGTGTGTCCCCTCCAAAATTGAAGTGCTGAAACTTAATGGATAATGTGATGGTATTAAATCATGGGTCCTTTAAGAGGTCATTAAGCCATGAGAGCTCCTCCCTCCGGAATAGGATTAAGGCCCTAATGAAAGAGGCTTTACACAGTGTTTGGTCACTTGCCCTTTGCCTTCTGCCATGTGAGGATATAACACTCCTCCCCGCTGGAGGATGCAGCAACAAGGTACCATCTTGGAAGCAGAGAGCCGTCCCCACCAGACAACTAAACTTGTTGGTGCCTTGATCTTGGACTTCTCAGGCTCCAGAACACTGAGAAATAAATTTATATTCTTTATAAGTTGCCCAGTCTCAGGTATCTTGTTATAGCAGCATAAATGGACTAAGACACAGCCTAAGTTGCCAACTTTCACCAAAATCAGCATTGTAATAAATATACATCTTTCCTAGAAAACAATCTGTGAAAATATAAACTACTTCCTCTTAGCCTGGACTTTCCCGTTATATACAAACAAATAATTGTAATCTGACTTTTGAACTTGGATTACAAAACAAAAGGCAATGGAACTGATGTAAGAGGACATCTGCTCTGGAACAACTATAACAGGATTCCATTTGTAAATCCCACTAAGGAATAAACAGCTTCATCCATAGAAAACAAATTTCCAGGATTCTCCATGTCCTTCTCTACCTGGTATCCTTCTGATTACAAGAAAATCTATCAGCCTATCTATTTTAGCCCATTCCTTTCTCACAGCCACAGATGGTTTCTCAGTGAGCAGGAGTAGAAACCCCTGAGCAGAAATACGTTAGTTGAAGAGAGGTGTAGGTGTAGATAATAGAGGTCGCCATTACAATCCTAAACAATCCAGAAGGCCAGGCGAGGTGGCTCACACCTGTAACCCCAGTGCTTTGGGAGGCCAAGGCAGACAAGTCACTTGAGGTCAGGAGTTAGAGACCAGCCTGGCCAACATGGTGAAACCGCGTCTCTACTAAAAATACAAAAATTAGCCGGGTGTGGTGGCACACATCTGTAGTCCCAGCTACTCAGGAGGCTGAGGCAGGAGAATCGCTCAAACCTGGGAGGTGGAGGTTGCAGTGAGCCGAGATCGCGCCACTGCACTCCAGCCTGGGCAACGAGCAAGACTCCATCTCAAAAAAAGAAAAAAAAAAAAATCCAGAAACCTCCTGTAATCATCCATCCTCCTTCCCTCTAATGCAGATGTCTGTCACTGCCTTAAGACACGCAAACCTGCCTTTGGACTGCTTTGAGCTTCCTTTCCTGCTTTTGCCTATAGGGGGAGTCAGTACGCAATGAAAAGATGAAAACTTGGAACCTGATGCAGCACCACTCCCATAAACGATCTGAAAAGTTCTTGGCCCGAGTATTCTGCACCACCATGTGTTCTTGAGGAATGTTTACTAACGGATTGAAAGCATAACTAGGAGTCCTCACTGGCCAACTGTGAGTAATGTGAGCACCAATATTATTAAAGAGAGTAATGAATTATAAACCATTGAAAAATAGGGAGCCGTAAGTCTGCAGTGATACCAAATAGATAAATACTTTAGAGAAAAGGGAGGGCCTTTGCAGGGAGGGCCTTTGCTTGCAGTCGAATACCATGTGCTAACGGGTAAATATGGAGGGAGTGCTGGGGTTAGGAAATCATCATTTTGTATAGATTGGTCCAGGCAAGCATTATCAATAGATGCTCAATCCAAGGAGAATTTTTGATGAGGAGTAAGTTATTTCCAGGAACTTAACAGTTTCTTTCCACAGAATGTTTATTAGTAGCAATAAAGAAAAAAAAATCCCAGTAATTATATCCTACAGAAACTGGGCAACACGTGACCCTAAATGAGAACATCATATTTTTAAAATAAGACTTCAAAAATATCAATGTAATGAAAGACAAAACACGGCTATTCCAAATGAAAGGAGACTAAAAAGACAGGGCACGATGCATAAACCTAGACTAGATCCTGTACTGCAAGAAAAAATGCTATAAAGGATATTATTTGATAGATTAGTGTTAGAATGTGAAATTTACCAAAATTGATAACTGTCTGTGGTTATGAAAGAAAATATTATCTGTATATATGGTGTAGATACATATATATGGGGCACAAAAATGATAAAGCAGTAGGGCAAGATGTTATCAACTGGTGAATCTGGGTTAAGAGTATGTGAGTATAGTTTGTACTATTCTTGTAACTTAATTTCAAAATGAATTGTTTCAAAAGTGCATTAGCTCCTGACATTGGTGAAGAATATAACTCTAGCTACCTCTTCTTCTTCTTCTTTTTTTTTTTTTTTTTTTTGAGATGGAGTCTTGCTGTGTCGCCCAGGCTGGAGTGCAGTGGTGCAATCTTGGCTCACTGCAGCCTCTGCCTCCTCGGTTCAAGCGATTCTCCTGCTTCAGCCATTGGAGTAGCCTGGACTACAGACGCGTGTCAACACACTGGCTAATATTTTTGTATTTTTAGTAGAGATGGGGTTTCACCCTGTTGGCCAGGCTGGCCTTGAACTCATGACCTCAAGTGATCCTCCTGCCTCGGCCTCCCAAAGCGCTGGGATTATAGGCATGAGCCACTGCGCCCAGGCTCACGCCTGTAATCCCAGCACTTTGGGAGGCTGAGGCAGGCAGATCACAAGGTCAGTAAATCGAGACCATCCTGGCCAACATGGTGAAAACCCATCTCTACTAAAAATACAAAAATTAGCCTGGCGTGGTGGCACACCTGTAGTCCCAGCTACTCAGGAGGCTGACACAGGAGAATTGCTTGAACCAGGGAGTCGGAAGTTGCAGTGAGCCGAGATCGCGCCACTGCACTCCAGCCTGGCAACAGAGCGAGACTCCGTCTCAAAAAAAAAAAAAAAAAAAAATTTCAACTAGGGGTGGGACTCAGTGGCTCAGGCCTATAATCTCAGCACTTTGGGAGGCCGAAGTGGGTGGATCTGTTGAGCTCAAGAGCTGGAGACCAGCCTGGCCAATATGGCAAAATCCCGTCTCTACAAAAAATAAAAATAAAAAACGTAGCCGAGCATGGTAGTGGCCCCTGTAGTCTCAGCTACTCGGGAGGCTGAGGTGGAAGGATAGCTTGAGCCCAGGAGGCAGCGGTTGCAGTGAGCCGTGGTCGTGCCACTGCATTCCAGCCTCGGCGATGGAGTGAGACACTGTCTCAAAAAAAAAAATGTTCAACTAGAAAGTTTGAAAATGGAGAAGAGATCAGGGATCAGGATAGGTGGATGAGATCAAGAAAGCCTTCAAGGTAGGACCTGAGCCTTGAAGGTAAGATTTAAATCAGTAGAGGATATTTCAGACAGTCAACAAACAGTTTGTGTAACTCAGGGAGAGGTTTGTGCAGGGATGGAATAGACTGGACAGAATGAATATTAGGAAGTATTGGAAAACATGCTTGAGTAGATACAAGGGGCCAGTCCACAAGTTCCTCAAGGGCAGCACCTAATTAGATCTTAGGCAAAAAGATTTAATTACCTGCCGGGTGCACTGGCTCACACCTGTAATCCCAGCACTTTGGGAGGCTGAGGCGGGAGGGTCACTTGAGGTCAGGGATTAGAGACCAGCCTGACCAACGGGAGGAAACCTGTCTCTACTAATAATACAAAAATTAGCCAGGTGTGGTGGCGGGGGCCTGTAATCTCAGCTACTCCAGAGGCTGAGGCAGGAAAATCGCTTGAAGGGGCCGGGGGAGGTTGCAGTGAGCTGAGATCATATCACTGCACTCCAGCTTGAGCGACAGAGCCAAGACTGTCTCAAAAAAAAAAACAAAACACCAGTCCTATATGTAACAGCGACTATTATGTTACATAGATATTAAGTCCAGGGCACAGACTTTCTAAAGCCCAAGGCAAATAACCTAAGAGGTAATGCAAGAGGTGGATGGATACAATGGTAAGTAACAAAACCACTATGAGGTCCTGCTGTCCCAATGCATAACTGTCTCAAAGGTGCCTTCATTTTAAAAGAATGGCCTTGCAAGAAAGTTGTTCTTTTAGCAGAAAGACGAATCTCCCTAAGTGGGAACATTTCAAATAGGAGAGGACATTGTTAACCTCAATGTGGCCAAGTGGAGCCCTAGGTTGCTTGGCCTTTTTGAAGGTATAAGAGACTCATCCTTTTTTTTTCTTTCTTTCTTTTTTACTGTTAACAGGAAGGTATATGAATGCATTGCTTGTATACAACAGGCAGTCCTTAACTGGTTTTATTAAGGCACTCCAGAGAGATCTGTTAGATGCGGTTAAGCCACAGGCCAAGGAAAAAAGGAGAAAAAGAGAACCCTTCATGAAAGCCAAGAGACTCATTCTCCTAGAAGCAGGTGGCATTCTCAGATGTTCAGCAACTTCTCTCCCTGGGAGATGGCTCTGGTCACCACAGCAGGCCCACGCCCCTCCCCATTGATGCGCTAGCAACGCTGTATGCAAATTTTATTAACTGCAAACCGATTCCCCTCTCCCCCACTAATGTGTATTAAAATTCCAGCTATGTGTCTATGTGTCTTCATTTCTTCTTCTTCTTCTTCTTTTTTTGAGATGGTGTCTTGCTCTGTCACCCAGGCTAGAGTGAAGTGGTACAATCTCGGCTCACTGCAACCTCTGCCTCCCAGATTCAAGCAATTCTGTCTAAGCCTCCCGAGTAGCTAGGACTACAGGTGCCCACCACCACATCTGGCTAATTTTTGTATTTTTGGTAAAGACGGGGTTTCACCATATTGGTCAGGCTGGTCTCAAACTTCTGACCTCAGGTGATCCGCCCACCTCGGGGTCCCAAAGTGCTGGGATTACAGGCGAGAGCCACCGCGCCCGGCCAGGACTTCTTTTTGTTTGTTTATTTTTAAGATGGAGTCTTGCTCTCGTCACCCAGGCTGGAGTGCAATGGCAGGATCTCGGCTGACTGCAACCTCCACCTCCTGGGTTCAAGCAATTCCCCTGCCTCAGCCTCCCGAATAGCTGGGATTACAGGTATGTGCCACCATGCCCGGCTAATTTTTGTATTTTTAGTAGAGATGGGGTTTCCCCATGTTGGCCAGGCTGGTCTCAAACCCCTAACCTCAGGTGATCCACCCACCTTGGCCTCCCAAAGTGCTGGGATTACAGGCGTGAGCAACCGCGCCCGGCCTCTAGAGACGTTTTAAACATAACTTGCCTCTAGAGCGCACAGTTCGCAAGTCTATAGGGCTCCAGGGCTTGTAATTTTCCATAACATCTTGGTGCCAGCCTCTGCTCAGTGACGTCACAAACGTCACAGACGTATTGTGTCACTCGGCTGCCCCCTAGTGTGCGAGCTGCGCAGAGCCAGGCCTATGTACCCGGGTACTTTCTGAGGCCTCCAGGCCTCCGTACCGAGATGCCCGCCCTGATTTCTGCACCCTGGCCCTTAGGGAAACGAAGCTGACGAAAGTTCGTTTCCCTAAGGGTCACCAGGGTTCTTTAAAGTGAGGGCTCTCTCTCTTGCCCACTTTAATGCTTAGGAGGATGGGAAGATGGGAGGCTCCGCTCTCTGGTAGCCCCAGGACACAAAATACTCCTTAGTATCTATAGAATGCTTTTCAAGTCATGAAGTGCACATATCCATATATCCATGTATTTTGGGGGATGCTCACATCCCAGGATTACATGAGAGAAGACACGTGGTGGAGTTCTTTTCCTTCCAGAATTAAAACTAACCTGAATCTTGTTCCGTAGGATCTGGCACTCCACTTCCTCCATCTAATATACTAGATGATAATCAGCTCAACTTAGTTGAATCCATGCTAATAAAGAAAAAAGTAGAGGACTTCCTGCCCACCTCCACCCCACTGTGGTGGGAATTTCAGGCCCAGATGAAGGAAAGTTGGAGGAAGCGGGCACGGGGGATGGCAACCCACCTAGGAAGGTTTCATAGGCTGGTGGTGCCTCCCTGAGCCCTTCAAATCACCCACTCGGGAGGCAGCCACCCACTCCTCAGGCAAACCGTAGTGGGCCGCATCACCCAGTGACAAGATCAGATCACACAGCCATTTAGCATTTCTTTGAATTTTATTGAAAATTGACATGGACATTAGAAAGGTATCAAGCTAAACAGTGCTGGTTCTGGGATGTTTCTCCTGGAGAATGAAAGCCCCAGAGGGGCAGTGACTGGTCACACCTTTGAGCAAAAAGAACAACGGAGAAGAAAGGAAAAACACACACAGATTCTGGCAAACATGCAAAGAGGCTCTCTCAAGAGACATTGAACAGCAGAATGGTGGTAGGGATATATGGAATGAGCACGCTCACATGGTATTTTGATGCAAGTTAAACCAATGAGTTAAAGGCGGATTTACCAACATCAAAGCTCTCCCTCCAGATCCTAGGTTGAGCAGAAACCTCTCTCAAAACCCCAACTGGTCTTAGAAGGTTGAATGGAGTAATTTTGCTCTCACTAAGCTTAAACCCCCTCCCTTCTCTCCCTTCTCCACCTGAGTGTTAGTGGATCCATTTTTCCCCCTTGCTGGAGTCTATAGAAGGTCTGTGAATGCTGAAGAAGATACATATGTCACTTGACTTTCTCTTCCACGTTCAGAAATGTTTAACAGTGGCTGTAGACAGTCAAACCATTGAACCAGGGAAATGTTTAAAAGAAAAACATAAAACTCAAAACCTTGTGAACAGTACTTCCACACCCACAGCTGAGGTGTTCTGCCCCAGTCACTTACACTTGGGTGAGTGGTCCTGTAGTTGTTTCTCTGAGGTTACATTTGGTCCGTTTTCCAGCTCTGATGGTTCTTTTCCTGCCTTGTTAGTTAGGACAAGATACTTCCATTTAAAATACCATGTAAGTCAGAAGAGAGCTTCTTTCCTGGACACAGGGACACATGAACACTTGTGGAGTGCTGTGGTGTGTGTGTGTGTGCTTGCTGTTTGAGGGGAGAGGGAACTGGTTGATTTCTGATTTGAGACAATATGGAACCCTAACTCTTCTATAATGGCAGTCTTCTCCTTTAGACTTAGTGCAGCTGCTGAAGACAAGATTAAAAAAAGCTGGAGAGGGAGAGAGAAAGAGAAAGAAAACATGAAATTAGCCAAAGAAAGAGGACATTCAAAGTAAGACAGGGGGAGGGAAGTGGGCAGTATGAGGTAGCACAGATTATAGTTTGAGAAGACAGGTTAGAAATGGGGGTCACTGATGGGCCATCACCACGGGGAAATCTATGCAGTTTTAAGAACACCACACACCAGTTTAAAGCTTCTTGTTTTAATTAAAAACAAGCACATATTAACAGCCACATATGAATGCCAAATGATTAAAACAAAAAAACAAAAACAAGAGCCATCTACACTGCAGCTAGGGAAAGCAAACTTCTTGGCATAAGAGAAGTGAGGGGGTGTGTGTGTGTGTGTGTGTGTGTGTGTGTGTGCTGTTTCAGAAAAGCCACTCCAGTCTGGGAAAATAAAAGCACAGACCATTTCTAATGACTGGTTTTGTTTCACCAGAAGTAAACAGAGTACTAGCGGTATGTTTTTTCAAAATAGCAACAGCTGTACTAATTAAAAGCCTTTTCATTGAAGGAGGACAAAATCTATCTAAAGTGAGAAAAGCTATCCACTTAAATACACATTTTAATAGGCTTGATCAACTTTTTAAATTACGTTCACTCATGGGTTAGATTTTTGTTTACCAAGTTCCCTGATTATAAGGGTCACCTAGGGCACCTTTTCCACACAGTCTCCTGGACGCCGTTCCAGCCTTGCAGCATCACTGGGTTACGAAGCTGGCTGGCTATGCCTTTGCTTTGCCACCCCTCACTCACTCCATCTTCAGATGTTTTTCTGTGGGAAAAAACTCAAGGATCTTCTAACACTAACTACTCAGTTTCTCTGATCATCAAAAGACCTCGTCTCCAGGAACATATATAAGCAGATTGAATCCCTTTGTGAAATGGATTGGGAGTCAGGAGGCAAGGAAATTAGTCTGGCTTCTGCGTTGAAACAGCAGTGGGACCTCGGTCAAGTCACTTCCCTTCTCTGGGCCTTCATTTCCCCTTCCAGAGTTAAGTAGTTCCTATTGTCTTACCGACTAAAATGTCTCCCTTAATATAAAACTCCTCCTTAGTTTCTGAAGGTCTCTCCAAGGCTATGTGGGTCTAATACTTTTGAAGTATTCAGAGCTTCTCAAGTCTTAATCTGTACACAAACACAAATGAGGGCGCCTCAGGTTTGTAATGCAAATAATTAGGGGGGATGGGGGGGTTGATGATTACCGGTTGGTTGTTTAAGCGTGAATTTCTGGGAAAGCAGCTCTGAAGCTGGACACAGAATCATCAAAGTTGCAAATAAGAAGCCTTTCCCAAGGAGAGCTGACAGGCCTAACTCAGCATCTCTCTGAGCTACTGGCTCAGCATCTGAGCAGCTTTTTTTTTTTTTTTTTTTTTTTTTTTTTTGTCTGGTTGTTGGTTTGTTTCTACCTCCAAGCATACAGTCTTAAAAAAAAAAATACTCCACTGTGACTTGAATTTTCCCAGGAAACTGGCTTGTGCTTTGGCATCACCTTCGTACTTACTCTGGTCACTCACCAATCAGTAGATCACCAAACGGCGCACAGCAAGCCTACACTCTTTGCTTTGCCAGCAAGAAAAGAGAAAGTGCGTGCATATGTTTGCTTTTCATTTTTTTTCTTTTCACTTCCTATTATAATCTATAACTGAAGCAAGAAATCCCCTTCCCCTTCTCAATACTTTGAAAAGACCTGGAAATTTGGCATAACCTTGTTTGACTGTGTGCTTTGAAAGTAAGTGATCAAAAAAAGAAACTAAAAAAAAAAAAAAAGAAGGTGGTGGTCACGGTCAGTGCCAGGGGACTGGGAGGCTGGAGCACGTTGCAGAACTCAAAAAGAAGTGAGCTTGAAGTACATGACAGGGTAGGGGTGGGGGGCCTGACTGCCTGGCACCCCGAAGGAAAGCTGTCAGTTAAAATAGGAACCTTGGCTTAAAAGGCTAAATGGAGTCCAGTCCAGCTGTAGCGGGGAATACTATTCAGTACACAGCCATGGGTTACTGCAAAGGAAGGGCAGAGAGACGGCATGTTAGCCACAGATCATTGCCAGGTCAACATCGCTCACTCTGTCACTGGCCAAACACCAAAGACCACTGTGTGTCGTAACCCTGACAAGGGAGGGCTCTGTACTTCACAGAGGTTCCCAAAGCCACTATCAGATGAGACCCATGATAAAAACTAGGGCTGGAATATTTTTAGATTCTCAACTCCTTAGATTGGAAACAAAGTGAAGGGCCTTCCAAGGTGGAACACCTCTTTTCTTCTCTCCAGCTGATAGTCTCATCTCTTCTTATTGGGGGATGCATGCTAAATGCATGTGAAAAATCATCATGATGTTCACTGAATGAACTAGAAGACTCATCAGAGCAAACCTGCAAACACTTGATTCTTTGACAGTTCAGTTCCAGTCTACAAAGTGGGATTTATTATTCCTGCTACTGGCCTCACCCTATTGGGATGGTATGGAGCCCTTCCGGAAATTACCCCGAGATACCTCACAAGAAGAATTCAGTAAGGCTATCATTCAAGACTCTAGACTGGTAATAATATTCAGGTTTATTCTCCCTTTTGCATCTGTGGGATACCCAGAGTTAGAGGGGAAACGCCTGCTATTTTCTCCAGCAGTTGTGTTTTATGGGAAGGGTTTGGTGTAAATAAATGTGTTGCAAATTTTGAGCACAGCTTTAGTGCAGTTACTTTGAGTGAATGAGAACTGGAAAGGGCTGGACTTGAAGGTTAGAAGGAACAGACACCAAAGGCTCTCCTTCTGGAACCCTCTGAGAAGTGGCTGTGGCTCCTGAGGGTGAGGGTGGGGTGAGCCAGGGAAGATTAGTGACTGGGATACAGGAGACCAAGGGGGCAGCTGTGCTGACCGGTGCCTACCCAGCCATGGTGGATGCAAACACCTTAGGGAAACTAACAGCAACTGGAACTGGGGAGTTGGTGGGAAAGAGTAGCAGATGGGCCCCCTGACTATGTTGTGCCTCTGGCAAAGATGGCAGGGAAGACAGGAGGAATGGTTGGGGGTGCCGGGATGGGGACTGGGAAGCAGGATGCATCTGTGAGCCACATGACTGTTGGCTTCTTGACCAGCGGCCAGACATCGTCCTCAGACTCTCAGGTTTCTATAAACCTTGGCAGGAAGAGAGGAGAGGGACCGGGTTGGATGGTATGCCCCCCAGGCATGTTAAGGGGGAATTAGAGAAAGGGAGGCACAGCTCTGTTGCGCAGGTAAAGGGTTTCTACAGGAAGCCCAAACTGAAAATGAAAAGAGAAGCTGAGTTAATGAACAGATAGATTAATGTACCAAAAAAAAAAAGGTCAGAAGAAAATTAAGTCACGAGGACTAATGGCTAAATTAGAATATAGCTATGTTAGATGGTCTTAAAAGTCTTATTGCATTGGCTCTGGGGAACATGCTTTCTCTCTCATACACTCCACACACTCCTACATGATGGCAGCAGTGGCATTAGCCAGCAAAATCATGATCAATAACCATAAAAATATTTTTTGTCTCTTTTTTTTTTTTTTTTGAGACAAAGTTTCGCTTTTGTTGCCCAGGCTGAAGTGCAATGGCACGATCTTGGCTCACTGCAAGCTCTGCCTCCTGGGTTCAAGCGATTCTCCTGCCTCAGCTCCCCAAGTAGCTGCGATTACAGGCATGTACCACCATGCCTGGCTACTAATGTATTTTTAGTAGAGATGGGGTTTCTCCATGTTGGTCAGACTGGTCTTGAACTCCTGACCTCAGACCTCAGGTGATCCGCCCGCCTCGGCCTCCCAAAGTGCTGGGACTACAGGTGAGCCACTGCACCCTGCCATCGCTCTCTCTCTCTTTTTTTTTTTTTTGAGATGGAGTCTTGCTCTGTTGCCCAGGCTAGAGTGCAGATGATATCGGCTCACTGCAACCTCCGTCTCCCAGGTTCAAGCGATTCCCCTCCCTCGGCCTCCTGACTAGCTGGAATTACAGGTGTGTGCCATCATGCTCGACTAATTTTTTGTATTTTTAGTAGAGACAGGGTTTCACCATGTTGGTCAGGCTGGCCTCAAACTCCTGACCTTGTGATCCGCCCGCCTCGGCCTCCCAAAGTGCTGGGATTACGGGCGTGAGCCACTGAGCCTGGCTATCTCTTCTTAATGACTAGGTACTGACTAATGTTCCCCCTGTCACCACCCAATACCTTCTATAGGAATACCTTCTGCAAATCTCCAGGTGGCCTCAGGCCACTGGATAGAGCCCCAGGCTCTAGCCACTGCATTTTCTGTCCCATAGGGAAAGCAGAGGAGGCTAAGTTTTCACCACAGGAGGTCCTAGTCAGCTACCTGGTACTCTGGGGCAAGGCCTGTTTGCAGAGTGTGTGGGGTTGGTACCTGAGAAGAACTATGGAAACCCATCATGGGTTTGTGCTAAATAATACTTTGACTTCTCTTCAATGTAAATTTCATTCCTGTGACATAAATACAGCAAGTAGGACTCATCCCCATTTGACATATCAGTAGACTGAGAAACAGAGAAGTCAATAGACCTGCCTGTGTCTGCAAAGAAAGAGTCACAGCCGGGCTCAGAGCTGTTTATTTAAGACTCTATCACATGCAATGTCCCTAAGAATTCCTTGGCTATGGATCTAAGCCCTATTTATTACCCGAAGAATTAATTTATCCCATTAAATAAAGACTATTAGATATCTGGCAGGGATAAAAGTATGGGCATAAATGAGTATGTTTCACAGCCAGTTTCTCAAAGGGAATATACTCCCACACATACACTTTCAAGATATACACACACTGAGGTGAATGGTAATTTATAACAGAAAATAGGAGTTCTGCCACCAACTCACTGTGTGGCCCTTGGTAAGTTCCTTAAATTCTCTGCTCCTCCATTTACTCTTTTTTTTTTTTTTTTTTTTTTTTTGAGATGGAGTCTTGCTCTGTCTCCCAGGCTGGAGTGCAGTGGTGTGGTCTCAGCTCACTGCAACCACCTCCCAGGTTCAATCGATTCTCCTGCCTCAGCCTCTCAAGTAGCTGCGATTATAGGCGTCCACCATCATGCCCAGCTAATTTTTAGATTTTTAGTAGAGACAGGATTTCACCATGTTGGCCAGGCTGGTCTCAAACTCCTGACCTCAGGTGATCTGCCCGCCTTGGCCTCCCAAAGTGCTGGGATTACAGGTGTTAGCCACTGCGCCTGGCCACTCTTTTTTTAAAAATAAATATAGAGACGGGGTTTCACCATGCTGCCCAGGCTGGTCTCCAACTCCTGGGCTCAAGTGATCCTCCCACCTCAGCCTCTTAAAGTGCTACGATTACAGGAGTGAGCCATTGTGCCCAGCCTCCATTTACTCATTTTGTAAACTGGGGATTATTCCTTCTTACCACACAGACTTGTTATAAGTGTAAAATGAGATACCATACAAAAAACAAAAACACTTTGGAAAGTAATAAAAGCTATACAAATTCTCTTTTTTTTTTTTTTTTTTTTTTTGATGGAGTCTTGCTCTGTCACCCAGGCTGGAGTGCAGTGGCGCCATCTCGGCTCATTGCAAACTCCGCCTCCTGGCTTCAACCCATTCTCCTGCCTCAGCCCCCCAAGTAGCTGGGATTACAGGCATTCGACACCACACCCAACTAATTTTTGTATTTTTAGTAGAGAGGGGGTTTCACTATGTTGGCCATGTTGGTCTCAAACTCCTGACCTCAGGTTATCTGCCCTCCTTGGCCTCCCAAAGTACTAGGATTACAGGCATGAGCCACCACGCCCAGCCTTATATCTTATTTTTATTCTTTTTCTACTTCCTAGGGGAAGAGTAACCTAAAAAACACTGCAATGGCCTATATTCTAGTTTCACAGGAAGGCTGATATATTTTGATGTTTGTATACTGTCCATATACTGTGCACTCCTAAGGACCAATAACAATTGAGGTATATTATCTGCAAATATGTTGGAGGGAATCACAAAGGAATTGCTTTTACAAATGCAGAGAGCTACAAGTAATGCCTCAAGCAATTTCAAAATTCGGGGACACAGTAAGCCTCAGTGCCTGCATTCTAAGTGGCCTTTATGATCCACCCCTAGCATGAGGGCTTTGAGGAGGGGGTGGGTTGCCTTTGCTGCTTTCAGATCCTGGCAGCCCAAGCCTCCCCTGACTAGTTGGTCTGAAACTGCTTTCGTGGTCTACCAGGGAGAAGCCTGCCAGGAAGAGCCAACCTACTCGGAGTTGGGGTTGGCTATTCCAGCTGGTTACCAATTGCCTCTCACTTGTAAAGTGTAGCTTTAATTATAGTTTTGCCAGAGTTCACTTTAGGAATGGCCACTAACAATGATTCACTTGAGGAAACCTGTATGAAATTGTGTCAAGCCACGTGCAATGAAACCTGAATAAACTTAAATCTCACAAACTAGAATACATATTTGCTGCTCTCCTCATTACAAATGGGGAAACAGCCAGGCACGGTGGCTGATGCCTGTAATCCCAGCACTTTGGGTGGCTGAGGCAGGCGGATCACGAGGTCAGGAGATAGAGACCATCCTGGCCAACATGGTGAAACCCCGTCTCTACTAAAAATACAAAAATTAGCTGGGCTTGGTGGCACGAGCATGTAATCTCAGCTGCTTGGGAGGCTGAGGCAGGAGAATAGCTTGAACCCAGAAGTTGGAGGTTGCAGAGAGCTGAGATCGCGCCATTGCACTCCAGCCTGGCAACAGAGAGAGACTCTGTCTCAAAACAAAAAACAACAGAAAAATGGAGGAACAAAGAACATAACGCATGAACCAAGGTCCTATTACATGACAGGCACGTCGCTAGGCACTGAAACTACAGTGCAAAGAATGGACAGACATTCTAGGAATTGACTGTCTTCCTAAACGGAAATTTGCTGTTTAATTTCACTCAACTAGCAGGGGCACCAAGACTTGCTCTTAAGCCAGACAGTAAATCAAGTCATTGTTCTTTCAAGATTGTTTCCTTTGGCCCAGTTTCATGGGCCTTATGTTGCAGAAACCTCTATGGACTTCCTCTTCAGGATTTGCTTCCAAGCAGCATGTTTTGCCAGCTGCCCCAAGTCCCCAGTGCAATAGCTGCAACAATCAGTTTGGTGACTAACAGCAGGCTTTCCATTTAAATCATAAACTACATGGGTGAGTGGGGAAAAGTCTTCTCCATGTTTTCTATTCCCCGATCCAAACAAACCAAATGTAAAAAGGCATTTATGAGACAACTAGGATGTTTCAAACACTGACTAGACATTTCATGTTAATGAATTATTGTTCATTCTGTAGGTGTGATAATGGTGGGGTTGTGGTTATGCTTTTTTAAAGGATCATTCTCTTGGAAATATATATGTATATATATTAAAGTATTTACAGATAAAGGGATATGGTTTTGCTTTATAATAATTCAGCAGGTCTGCAGTAATTGATGAAACAAGATTGGGCATATGTTTATGGTTGTTTGGGGGCTGGGTTGTGGGCTGAACTATATTATCCTCTCTTCTTTTGTTCATGTTTGAAAGTTTCCATGGTAAAGTTTTAAAAATATAACCCTAGGCTGGGCGCAGTGGCTCACGCCTATAATCCCAGCACTTTGGGAGGCCAAGGTGGGTGGATCACCCGAGGTCACAAGTTCAAGACCAGCCTGGCTAACGTGGTGAAATCCACTCTCAACTAAAAATACAAAAATTAGCCAGGAATGGTGGCCCATGCCTATAATCCTAGCTACTTGGGAGGCTGAGGCATGAGAATTGCTTGAACCCAGGAGGCGAAGGTTGCAGTGAGCTGAGATTGTGCCACTGCACTCCAGCCTGAGAGACAGAGTAAGACTCCATCTCAAAAAAACAAACAAAACAAAAATAAAACCAACAAAACCTAATGATGTTAAATTAAAAATGTTTGTATTTCCTTTCCATTCACTACCTGAGTCTAGTAGAGGAGATAGAAGGTGCTTAATCCCTGCGTTCAGTCTCCCCATAAACTAGGTAATGCTTTATAAACTATAAACACAAAATCTAGCACTCAGGAATCCTTCCCAAAGGTTACCTACTGGTCTTATAAGAGGTTTTCATGAAGCTGGTACTTGTAGGATTAAATGTAAGGAATTCTCTATAATGTCTAAGGTCTCTTCATTTTCCTCCACTTTTGTTATGGTTTTGAGGGGATACAGTCAAACGGAATTTGAGAACTTGAACTTGAACCCCTCAGGTAAGAAACAGCCACCAGAGGGAAACAGAGAAGTGAGTTTCCATTGACTCTGGATATTCTCAAACCTGATGCAGGGGGATGGGAGGAGGTTAATGCTGACTGTGACATTGCAGGACAGGGCTTGTGAACCCCAAAGTTTCTCTCATCACTACGGTTTCATTAATTTTGCAAATAATGATTATGGCTCTTTTTTTTTTTTTTTTTTTTTGAGAAGGAGTTTCACTCTTGTTGCCCAGACTGGAGTGCAATGGCATGATCTCAGCTCACCTCAACCTCTGCCTCCCAGGTTCAAGCTATTCTCTTGCCTCAGCCTCCCGAGTAGCTGGATTACAGGCATGTACAACCACGCCCAGCTAATATTTTGTATTTCAATAGAGACGGGGTTTCACCATGTTGGCCAGGATGGTCTCAATCTCCCGACCTCAGGTGATCCGCCCGCCTCAGCTTCCCAAAGTGCTGGGATTACAGGTGTGAACCACTGTGCCCGGCTCGATTACGGCTCTTTAAGAAAAAAACTACCCACACTGAAACCTCAAATACTGATCACAAGATCCACCTATGTTACCCAGCTGTTCTAGCAGCAAACGTCTGAAACAATCCCTCACTTTAATCAGGCAGGCAGGCAGGCAGACATTCCACATGTACACTTGAAACCACACCAGACTATTTCTTCATATTATAAGTCACAAGAGAAAACCAGTTAGACGAATGAAGCAGCTTCTTCTAAGATTGGATGTTTGTTTTGGGGGTGCGGGACTGGGGGAGATATGTTCTAGAAGCCACTGCTAGTTCTATTTAGAGTTAATCAAGCTTACCAGGACCCTGGGTCTCATGCAGCATGCAGCAAACAGCAGAGTTAACTGTAAAACAGTAAGAGCTGATGAAGATGGAGTGAGCATGAGGAGAAATCAAATATTATGAGTTGACACAAACAATGAAGGGTTAGAGGTCAAGGGAAATTAGGAGTAGCAGGAAGGGGAAGTGGGAAGGGTGGACTGGTAGGAACTCCTGAAACATTGATACTCTTTTTTTGTTTTCTGAGTCGGGGTCTCTCTCTTTTGCCCAGACTGGAGTGCAGTGGTGCAATCACAGCTCACTGCAGCCTCACCCTCCCGGGATCAAGCAATTCTCCCACCTCAGCCTCCCGAGTAGCTGGGACTATACACAAGTGCCATCATTCCCAGCTAATGTTTAATTTTTTTTTTTTTTTTTTTTTTTTGTAGAGACAAGGGTCTCACTATGTTGCCCAGGCTGATCTCAAACTCCTAGACTCAAGCATTCCTTTCGCTTTGGCCTCCCAATGTATTGGGGTTACAAGCGTGAGCCACTGCGGCCGGCCAGTATTTTCTTAATCTATAATTTAGGGGAAGCTAAAGGAAATTCTGAATATGTGACTCTTAGATCCAACCACCATCTCTCAAGAAGAAATACTACTACCACCGTTTCTACCCTCAAAACCCACCATGACGACTATGGGAGGAAGGTGGCACACGTCTAATGGTGGCTTTTCCAGGAGTTAACCAATTGCTCATGAAATTACATAAGAAGACGAGACCCAGGGCCACTTGGACATCTGGAAGTACAGAAGAGAATTGGTCATTCTGTTAGGCCCTTATTGTTAATATGAGGTGCCACATGCCAGCAGGGTTTTCACCCATTTCAGAATTGGAAAGGGGCGCTGTCACCAATGCCAGATATTCCTGGAGAGTAGAGAGGGGTCCCTGTTGGGATCTCCTGCCTGGGGTGGGAGAAGTCAGTCAGTTTGAGGAAACAAGGGGAAAGCTTGATCTAAAAAGAACTTTTACTGAACATCTGAATAGGGAATATTTATAGTTTCAATGCAGCCTGAACAAACCAATTCCTAACAACCAGGCGATGAAACTGCCCCAGGTATTGAGTTAACAAATACCACAGGACTATGGAGGCAGCAGGTTACAGCTGGAAGACGAATTTAGATTTTTCTGATCTTAAAAATAGGAATCCATTCCTGCTGGTGCAACTAATACACCATGACAGATAAGTGAATACAGTACAGGGTGTGTCTAAAGAGACTTTCTTCTGGCTAATTGAACTTCAATGAATTTGACATGTAGTATTAAGATTCAGTAACAAAAATCTCTGGACTAATTGGTGAAGATATTCATTTTTTTTTTTTTTGAGACAAAGTCTCACTCTGTCACCTAGGCTAGAGTGCAGTGGCATGATCTTGGCTCTCTGCAAACTCCGCCTCCCAGGCTCAAGTGATTCTCCTGCCTTAGCCTCCCAAATAGCTGGGACTACAGGTGTGCACCACCACGCCCAGCTAATTTTTGTATTTTTAGTAGAGACAGAGTTTTGCCATGTTGCTCAGGCTGGTCTCGAACTCCTGACCTCAAGTGATGCACCTGCCTCGGCCTCCCAAAGTGCTGGGATTTCAGGTGTGAGCCACCATACCTGGCCAAGATGTTCAAATTACACATTTGAATAAAGAGTAATTGGATTGCAAAGCTGAGTGCCTCCAAATATAACATATTTTACTGTTATGCAAAAGTTACCATGTTATTTCTAAGTGATAAGACAGAGGAAAGGAAGATGTTTTTTCCTTCTGGCAAAATATCCAATAGTGAAGTCCAGGAACAAGTGGATGAAAACAGAAGGCAATGACCATGGACATATTTTGCATCCTCAGTACCCTTTAGTAAAGACACTGCTAAACAGTCCACCTGGGAGCTCCTCTAGTCACACTGCAGAAACAACTGCAGGGCACAAGGGCACCCAGAGGGTTTTCTAGATCCCGTTGGAAACACTCTTCTCTGGTTCTGGGATGAGGAATGGGTAACTTCAGCAAGCAGAGATGGGTTGGATGGGGATTATTGACCCACATGGTATCCAGGAGCCCATGTTCTAGTATCAGAGGAGATGGGAAGTCTTAAAATCATTCTCCAGACTGAGGATGGGGCACATGCGGGTACACTGGCATCTGAGGGCTCCCTCATAAGTTCTCAGCACCCCAGCCTGGGCAGAACTAAGCAGCCAGCAGGGAGGGATCACAAAGGGGTGGGAAATCAGGGCTGGGCTGCAGCCTTCAGTGGCAGCAGTTAAATTCGGTTGGCTGCAGCAAGTGAGAACTGAGGCAGGGTGGAGAGGTGAGCAACCTCAGATATAGGGCAGGGGTGGGGAGAGGGTGCACAGAGTTTCTGCTAAAGGCTTTCTCTTTCTTCCACTACTCTGTATCTGCACGTCTTTTTTCTTTTCTGAGACAGTCTCGCTCTGTCACCCAGGCTGGAGTGCAATGGCGTGATCTTGGCTCACTGCAACCTCTGCCTCCTGGGTTCAAGCAATTCTCCTGCCTCAGCCTCCCAAGTAGCTGGGATTACAGGCATGTGCCATCACGCCTTGCTAATTTTTTATATTGTTAGTAGAGACAGGGTTTCATCATTTGGCCAGGCTGGTCTTGAACCCCTGACCTCAGGTGATCCACTTGCCTTGGCCTCCCAAAGTGCTGGGATTACAGGTGTGAGCCACCACGCCTGGCCCATATCTGTACTTCTGTTTCTCTCTTTCTTTCTTTCTTTTTTTTTTTTTTTTTGAGATGGAGTCTCACTCCATTGCCCAGACTGGAATGCAGTGGTGTCATCTTGGATCACTGTAACCTCCACCTCCTGGTGTCAAGTGATTCTCCTGCCTCAGCCTCCTGAGTACCTAGGACTACAGGCATGCATCACCACACTGGGCTACTTTCTGTTTTTTTGTTTTTGTTTTTGTTTTTTTCCAGTAGAGACAAGGTTTTGCCATGTAGGTCAGGCTGGTCTCACACTCCTGATCTCAAGTGATCTGCTTGTCTCAGCCTCCCAAAGTTCTGGGATTATAGGCATGAGCCACTGCACCCAGCCTTGTTCCTCTCTTTCTTATAATTGCTGCCCTTCTTATTTTTTTCCTCCCTTCTGCTCCTTCACTCTCCCTTTGCTTTTCCTCTCCTTTCCCTTCTGCTCCTATGGGCCTTGAGTTTGCGTGGCTTTCCTAAGCAAGCTGGATGGATGGGCTGGGCCTCCAGGACCACATCCCTCCCCTACTCTCGGCTCCCCAAACTCAGGGAATCCAATGATCCCACAGGTATGCCGAGACCAGATATAGGTACCCCAACCAATCTGACAGCCCGCAGCTCACCTCTGGTCACCAGTCCTCAGCCCCTTCAGGTGCCACATCCTGCCCCGGAAGGATGAGCAGGAGGAGAGAGAAGGCATCACCCCAGAGCAGCCTGCTACTTACTTTTTCTTCTCTTTGTCTCTCTTCAGAGTCTGTGAGCCTCCAGCCTGGGAACCCTGGGACTGGAGCAGCTCGGCCGCCGTCTTTCTCTGTTTGAAAGCATTCACTTCATCATCCAAGGATTTCTTCTTATCCTCCAGCTTCTTCTTCTCGTCCTGGTGCAGTTTCTTCAGACGATCAAACTTCTCGTGCAGCTGGCAGGGAAGAACAGGGAGAATGAAGACAGTCCCCTGTAAGCAGTCCCCAGTCTGGCCAAGCCCAGAGTGGGTGGGGACCAGTAAGGCTGTGACCCTGCAGGGTCAACATTTCTCAGGGGGCATTTCTGTCAGGAATTGCCATGATGGCACCAAAGGCACCATACTCTGGATCGTTCTCTCCTCCTGCCATTTTATCTCCAAGTCTCTGCTCCTGAATATGGTAAAGGAACACTGTATTGTCTTTAGTCAGACATTTTGTTAAAAAGAGTCCCCATAGGACGGGCGTGGTGGCTCACACCTGTAATCCCAGCACTTTGGGAGGCCAAGACGGGTGGATTGCGAGGTCAGGAGTTGGAGACCAACCTGGCCAATATGGTGAAACCCATCTCTACTAAGAATACAAAAATCAGTCAGGCATGGTGGCACATGTCTGTAGTCCCAGCTACTCGGGAGGCTGAGGCAGGATAATTGCTTGAACCGAGGAGGCAGAGGTTGCAGTGAGCCGAGATTGCACCACTGCACTCCAGCCTGAGCAACAGAGGGAGATTCCATCTCAAAAAAAAAAAAAAAGAGTCCCCATAGTTACCCCACATGGTTAATAATAACATCAATTATAATAACAGAACATTTACTGAGTGCTGGTCATGCACAGTGGCTCAGGCCTGTAATCCCAGCACTTTGGCAGGCTGAGGCAGGCAGACCACTTGAGATCAGGAGTTCGAGATCAGCCTGGCCAACATGGTGAAACACCGTCTCTACTAAAAATACAAAAATTAGCCAGGCATTGTGGCACATGCCTGTAGTCCCAGCTACTCAGGAGGCTAAGGTAGAAGACTCGCCTGAACCCGGGCGGTGGAGGTTGCAGGGAGCTGAGATCGCACCATTGCACTCCAGCCTGGGCAACAGAGAAGACTCCATCTCCAAAAAAAAAAAAAAATACTAAGTAATTATTACAGGCTAAGCACTGACTTTTATAAGCTCTTTATGTATATTTATTCATTTAATTGTTACCACAACCCTATGAGGTAGGTTCTGTTATGATCTCCATTTTATGAGGAAACAGAAGGTCTGAGAAGTAAGGAATTTGACTACGGTCAACCCAGTATTTAGAGCATTAGATAACAGGACCTCTTATATGTAAGGGACCCCTGTCTTTTCTTAACCCCTGCAATCAGGGAGGATCACCAGGGATCGCAGAGAAAACTTCAGTAATGGCAAAGCCAGTTGATGGAAATACTTGGCTTTGGATGTAGAAGGAAATAAAAGGATTTTATGACATGGAATGAGTCCAGACACCTCAGCTTAACTAAAGGGAGTCTTAACTAGTCCTGAATAAAACCAGAAACCCAAGAATACTGTGGGCCAGGCGCAGTGGCTCACACCTGTAATTCCAGCACTAGGCTCAATCCCAGCACTTGGCTCAATCCCAGCACTTTGGGAGGCTGAGGTGGGTGGATTACGAGGTCAGGTGTTCGAGACCAGTCTGGCCAACATGGTGAAACCTCGTCTCTACTAAAAATACAAAAATCAGCTAGGCATAGTGGCGTGTGCCTGTAATCCCAGCTACTCGGGAGGCTGGGGCAGGAGAATTGCTTGAATCGGGAGGCAGAGCTTGCAGTGAGCCGAGATCGCACCACTGCACTCCAGCCTGGGCAACAAAGCGAGACTCTGTCTCGGAAAAAAACAAAACAAAACAAAACACAAAAGAATATTCTGGCATGCCATTTTGATAAGTGGATCAGAAAACAAGAGGCACAGACAGTCACAGACTAGAATGCAATAAACTACGCTGAATAGTAAGAGCAGAGCGAGTAAAATTTCACTTTCATGGATTCAGGAGAGAGTTTAGGATTCTTTTTTTTTTCTTTTTTTTCTTTTTTAGAGAGTTTAGGATTCTGTAGCACTTGCAGCATACCAAGAAGGAGTTAGTTTTCTGGGTCCTGTGGGTATCTGACACTGTCACTTAGGTAGGTGAGTGACAGACCTGCTGTATAAGCCAGCTTTTACTAGCCATTTGGGCTGCCTATCAGTTGCCTTAACCTGGCTTTTGTTAATTGCACTTTTATACATTTGTCTTTGAGATCCCTTCACTTCACCTCCTAAAAGTGCTGATATTTTTTTCTTTTCTTTTTTTTTTAAATTGAGACAGAGTCTCACTCTGAAACCCAGGCTGGAATGATCTCTCAGCTCAAGCAATCCTCTCACCTCAGCCTCCTGGGTAGCTGGGACTACAGGCACGTGTCACCATGCCTGGCTAATTTTTTGTATTTTTAATATGGAGTCTCACTATGTTGCCCAGGCTAGTCTTGAACTCCTGGGCTCAAGCCATCCTCCCGCCTTGTCTTTGCAAAGTGCTGGGATTATGGGCCTGAGCCAAGGCACCTGTCTCACTTTTTTTTAGTGAAACTGAAAAAATCGATACCGTTGTCATGGGCTTTGGTGACAACTCTTAAGAGTACAACAGGTTAAATGTGGAAGAGACTAGTGAAGTAATTAAGTCCTTCCTTTCTTTCTTTCTTTTCCTTTTCTTTTTTTTTTCTTTTTTTGAGACAGTCTCACTCTTGTTGCCCAGGCTGGAGTGCAGTGGTGCGATCTCAGCTCACTGCAACCTCCACCTCCTGGGTTCAAGCAATTCTTCTGCCTCAGCCTCCCAAGTGGCTGTGATCACAGGTGCCCTCCACCATGCCTGGCTACTTTTTATATTTTTTAGTAGAGACAGTGTTTCACCATGTTGTCCAGGCTGGTCTCAAACTCCTGACCTCAGGTGATCCACCTGCCTCGGCCTCCCAAAGTCCTGGGATTACAGGCGTGAGCCGCTGTGCCTGGCCAAGTACTTCCTTTCTTTTTAGTTGAGGGTTTTGAGGTGCAGAGAGGTGAAGCAATGGCTAACATAACCAAGACTGCACCTTAGGCCAATTAATCTCGCAGCAATAGCTGAGCTGCTAGGGGAGACCTTAGAGGCAAGGCCATGGGATAGAAGACTAACTACATGCGCTTAGGCATAGCTTCAGTAATGAAAATCCCTTACTTAAAAAACCCAGTAGAGGCCGGGTGTAGTGGCTTACACCTGAAATCCAAGCACTTTGGAGGCCAAGGCGGATGGATCACCTGAGGTCAGGAGTTCAAGACCAGCCTGACCAACATGGTGAAACCCTGTCTTTAAAAAAAAAAAAAAAAACCCAGTAGAGTTACACAGATGTTTATTTATCTCTCTTTCTCTCTCTCTCTCTCTCTCTCTCTTTTTTTTTTTTTTGAGACGGGGTCTTGCTCTGTCGCCAGGCTGGAGTGGAATGCAGTGGCACGATCTCGGCTCACTGCAACTTCCAACTCCCTGGTTCAAGTGATTCTCCTGCCTCAGCCTCCTGAGTAGCTGGGATTACAGGCGCCTGCCACTACACACAGCTAATTTTTGTATTTTTAGTAGAGATGGGGTTTCACCACATTGGCCAGGATGGTCTTGATTTCCTGACCTCAAGATCCACCCACCTTGGCCTCCCAAAGTGCTAGAATTACAGGTGTGAGCCACCATGCCCGGCCAATGTTTCTTTATTTCTAAAATGAAATGGAACAGAATATCCAAAGTAATGGGAACAATAATAGCTATCTTAGGTTTCAGCAAAGTACATAGGACTGCCCGAGACCATCTTTCCCCACAGCCATCAGAGAAGTTAGGATGGGGCAGAACAGCCAAGAAAGTGATCAGTTGTCCATACTGAGCTCCAAACTCCCAGGAAGAAGAAAAAGAATGGCCAAGTGCAGTGGCTCATGCCTGTCATCCCAGCACTTTGGGAGGCCAAGTCAGGTGGATCACCTGAGGTCAGAAGTTCGAGACCAGCCTGGCCAACTTGGTGAAACACCGTCTCTACTAAAAGTACAAAAATTAGCCAGGCATGGTGGCACATGCCTGTAATCCCAGCTACTTGGGAGGCTGAGGCAGAGATTTGCTTGAACCTGGGAGGTGGAGGTTGTAGTGGGCTGAGATCGCACCATTGCACTCCAGCCTGGGCAACAAGAGTGAAACTGTCTCAAAAAAAAAAAAAAAAAAAAAAAAAAGAAGAAGAAGAAAAAGAATTAGCTCACACCCAATCCCAAAGGCCTGACTTTGTAGCAGCACTGCTCAATAGGGCTTTCTTTTTTTTTTTTTTTTTTTTTTTGGAGGTGGAGTCTTGCTCCGTTGCCCAGGCTAGCGTGCAGTGGTGCTATTTCAGCTCACTGCAGCCTCTGCTTCCCGATTCAAGTGATTCTCTCACCTCAGCCTCCTGAATAGCTGGGATTGCAGGCATGCGCTACCATACCCAGCTAATTTTTTTGTATTTTTAGTAGAGATGGAGTTTTACCATGTTGGCCAGGCTGCTCTTGAACTCCTGGCCTCAAGTGATCTGACTGCCTTGGCCTCCCAAAGTGCTCGGATTACAGGCATGAGCCACCGCGCCTGGCCCCCGTAGAGCTTTCTGTGAAAACAGAAATGTTTTATATCTGTGCTGTTTAGTATTAGTCACTAGGTGCATGAGGGGTGAGCTTTTGAAACATAGCTAACATGATTGATGAACTGAGTTTTAAATTTTATTATATATTTTGAAATTGCTAAAAGAGTAGATTTCACTGATTGATTGATTGATTGAGACAGGGTCTTGTTATGTCACCCAGGTTTGAGTGCAGTGGTATGATCATAGCTTACTACAGCCTCGAGCTCCTGGCTCAAGTGATTCTCCTACCTCAGGCCTCCTAGTAGCTGGGATACAGGCATGTGCCACCCTTCTCAGCTAATTTTTTTTTATTTTTTATAGAGATGGGGTCTCACTTTTTTTTTTTTTCCTAGGCTAGTCTCAAATTCCTGGCCTCAAGTGATTCTGCTGCCTTGACCTCTCAAAGTGCTAGGATTACAGGTGTGAACCACCATGCCCAGCCAAAAAGAGTAGATTTAAAATGTTTTTACCACAAAAAAAAATGGTGAGTTTGTGAGATGATAATCCATTTGCTAATTTGCTTGATGTAGGCATTCCACAATGTAAACATATATCAAAACATCACGTTGGCTTTAGACGTGGAAGGAAATAAAAGGACTTTATGACATGGAATGAGTCCAGACACCTCAGCCTTAACTAAAGGGAGGCTTAACTAGTCCTGAATAGAACCAGAAATTCAAGAATATTGTGGGCCAGGCGCAATGGCTCACACCTGTAATCCCAGCACTCGGCTCAATCCCAGCACTTTGGGAGGCCAAATAATTGTATAATATATACAATTACTGTCAATTAAAAATAAAATATAAAAAATTCCAAAAAATTAAATAGTCACATTTGACTAACGGCTACCATATGGGACAGCGATGCTCTAGAGAATTAAGTAACACAATGGGAAAACAACCCAGCCTTAGAAATGAGGTGGTCAAGGAGACACAGCTCTTCTAGCTTCCTTTGTGCCAGCCAAGGCAAGGTTACAGAGGCTGAGCCCCATTCCTGTACAGAGGCTACAAGGCTGTTCTCCCAAGGCAGAAGCCCGTCGTGGGTTTCCATGCCATGTTCAGCCCCATTTCTCTTCCTGCCTGGCACCTAGGCTCACATTTTCTTTTTAATTTTATTTTAAGTTCCAGGGTACATGTGCCAGATATGCAGGTTTGTTACATAGGTAAACATGTGCCATGGTGGTTTGCTGTACCTATCAACCCATCACCTAGGTAGTAAGCCTCGAATGCATTAGCTATTTATCCCAATGCTCTCCCTCCCCCTGTCCCCATGACAGGCCCCAGTGTGTGTTATTCCCCTCCCTGTGTCCATGTGTTCTCATAATTCAGCTCCCACTTATAAGTGAGAACATGTAGTGTTTGGTTTTCTTTTTGAGATGGAGTCTCACTCTGTTACCCAGGTTGGAGTGCAGTGGCACAATCTTGGCTCACTACAACTTCTGCCTACCAGACTCAAGCGATTCTCCTGCCTCAGCCTCCCAAGTAGCTGAGACTACAGGCATGCACCACCACACTTGGCTAATTGTTGTACTTTTAGTAGAGACAGGGTTTCACCATGTTGTCCAGGCTGGTCTTGAACTCCTGACCACAGGTGATCCGCCTGCTTCAGCCTCCCAAATTGTTGGGATTACAGGTATGAGCCACAGCCCCTGGCCTGATGTTTGGGTTTCTGTTCCTGTGTTAGTTTGCTAAGGATAATGGCTCCCATCTCCATCCATGTCCCTGCAAAGGACATCCTCTCTTTCCTTTTTATGGCTACATAGTATTCCATGGTATATATGTACCACATTTTCTTTATTCAGTCCATCATTGATGAGCATCTGGGTTGATTCCATGTCTTTGCTATTGTGAATAGTGTTGCAGTGAACATATGTGTGCATGTATCTTTATAACAGAATGATCTATAGGATTGCTGGGTCAAATGGTATTTCTGGTTTCAGGTCTTGGAGGAATCACCACACTGTCTTCCACAATGGTTGAACTAATTTACATTCATACCAACAGTGTAAAAGCATTCCTATTTCTCCACAGCCTCACAACAACTGTTGTTTCTTGATGTTTTAATAATCACCAGGCTCTCATTTACCTCTTTCTCTGCCTCTTTGAGCTCCGCTTCTTTCTCCTTGACTCTCTGGACGAACATCTGCCTCATCTCCTCTTCTTTTTTCTGGAGTTCCCCTAGGAACTCGTTCCTTTTGGCCTCATATGTCTCCTGTAAACTGTGAACATGGTCAGGTTAATTCCTCTTCCTTTGGAATGGCTCCTATTTGATAAAACTGGCCCCAAAGATCCTCCCTGGGTTCCTCCATCCTCCCTTCCCCAGTTGCGAGCCACGTGCAAAAATAGAACCACAAAGCTGTGGGCACCTGGCTTGGCCCATGACAGCATGCCCACAGGGCTTCTGGAGGGGGATGGGGCAACCCTAGTGAACTGGAGAGACTCAGAATATCTGGTTTTATACTCTTGTTCTACAGATGAGAAAACTGATGCCCAGAGAGGTGAGGTGTCTTGCTCAAGGCCCCACAGCTAGTTAGAGGCAGACCTTTGACCAGAAGCTGGGTCTCCTGGCACTTCATCAGGGTCTTCCCGCTGCACAATGCTGCCAGGCCCTGGCTCTGAAACTGACCACATTAATGAACTATTTCAACAAATACTTGAGGAGACTCCATATGTGCTAGACACAGTACTAATTGACATGATGCTAGTCACTCAGCCTCTAGAGCCAGCAGCCACCATACCTGACATCAAGGAACTCATGTTCTAGTGGGAGATGCGCCTGGCCTGAACTTCTTTTTCTTTCTTTCTTGTTTTTTTTTTTTTTTTTTTTTGAGACAGAGTCTCACTCTGTCACCAGACTGCAGTGCAGTGGCACAATCTTGGCTCACTGCAACCTCCACCTCCCAGGTTCAAGAGATTCTCCTGCCTCAGCCTCCAGAGTAGCTGGGACGACAGGCATGCACCACCATGCCCAGTTAATTTTTGTATTTTTAATAGAGACAGGATTTTACCATGTTCGCCAGGATGGTCTCCGTCCCTTGACCTCATGATCCACCCACCTTTGCCTCCCAAAGTGCTGGGATTACCAGCATGAGCCACTGCACCCAGCCAGCCTGAGCTAATTTTTAAAGAAATAGGGTGAAACCCCGTCTTTACTAAAAATATAAAAAAAAAATTAGCTGGGCATGGTAGCGTGTGCCTGTAATCCCAGCTACTCAGGAGGCTGAGGCAGGAGAATTGCCTGAACCCAGGAGGCGGAGGTTGCGGTGAGCCGAGATCGTGCCATTGCACTCCAGCCTGGGTAACAAGAGCGAAACTCCATCTCAAAAAAAAAAAAAAAAAAAGAAAAGAAAAGAAAAAAGAAATAGGAGGCTGGGCACAGTGGAAGTCAATCACTCCAAGAAGTCAAGGCAGGTGGATCACCTGAGGTCAGGAGTTTGAGACTAGCCTGGCCAACATGGTGGAACCCTGTCTCTACTAAAAAATACAAAAAATTAGCTAGGCATGGTGGTGGGCGCCTGTAATCCCAGCTACTCGGGAGACTGAGGCAAGAGAATCACTTGAACCTGCTAGGCGGAGGTTGCAGTGAACCGAGATTGCGCCACTTGCACTGCAGCCTGGGCGGCAGAGTGAGACTCCACCACACACACACAAAAAAAAAAAAAGAAAGAAAGAAATAGGAGATAGCCTGGTAAAGAAGAGGTGGAACTGTGCTCCAAATAGGGCAGCATGTAAGAAAGCACATGTGGAGAGAGAATGACATTCTTGGGGAGCCAGGCATGGTTCACCACAGCCAAAGAGCACCATAGTAGTGGTGGAGTAGAGGGAGATGAAGTTCCTGAGTCTGGTGGAAGAGAACAGCTTTGGATACCATATTTAAAATTGGACATGTATGCACTGCATGGTTTTAAAGTAGGAAGTCATACCAGATCCAATTTGAAAATGAGAAGGGCCACTCTGGCTGTGTTGTGGGAAGGACAGATTTTCCATCAATCCAAGTAAGAAGTGACAGGATCTTGGCCGGGGGCAGTGGCTCACACCTGTAATCCCAGCGTTTTGGGAGGCCGAGGCGGGCGGCTCACTTGAGGTCAGGACTTCGAGACCAGCCTGGCCAACATAGTGAAGCCTTGTCTCTACTAAAAATAAAAAAATTAGGCCGGGTGCGGTGGCTCACGCCTGTAATCCCAGCACTTTGGGAGGCCGAGGCAGGTGGATCATGAGCTCAAGAGATTGAGACCATCCTAGCCAACATGGTGAAACCCCGTCTCTACTTAAAAAATACAAAAATTGGCTGGGCGCGGTGGCTCACGCCTGTAATCCCAGCACTTTGGGAGGCCGAGGCGGGTGGATCACGAGGTCAAGAGATCAAGACCATTCCGGTCAACATGGTGAAACCCCGTCTCTGCTAAAACTACAAAAAATTAGCTGGGCATGGTGGCGCGTGCCTGTAATCCCAGCTACTCAGGAGGCTGAGGCAGGAGAATTGCCTGAACCCAGGAGGCGGAGGTTGCGGTGAGCCGAGATCGTGCCATTGCACTCCAGCCTGGGTAACAAGAGTGA